CGCAATGATACTCGCTGCCTTCCCAGCCTTTGTCTTCTCTGACTGCACCCTTCCAGGGTGCACCCAGAGTGTAAGTTTATCTGATTCTAGCGCCTCTAATTAGTTTGTAAACTTTTTTACCGAAAAAACTTTAAAGTGAAGTCTTTTCGATTCTTTGCATAGTCGTCTTTAGTGGAAAGTGATACAGGAATCCCTATTCAAAACGACGAAGAAGTCATTTACGGAGGTAAAAGCCTTTCGCTTGTTGTAATTAATTAATGTAAATTATTTAAGGGGAAATAGGTTTAAACTTTGTCGGTTAAAGGGACATGGAAAAAGATGCTAAATAATTTTAATGTATCTACACAAAGCGGAAGGCCCGGTCCTTGTGAGAGAATGACGTAAATGACTGGGATAATCGCAGATATCGATTGTTGTTCAGTGCTAGCACGATATCGGTAGCGCTGTTTTTATTAACAGATCTATTTCATTAGATTGACCAATTCTTGGCAGGGTCACCGCAATAGCATGACGCTAATTGCTGAGGATCCGTAAAAGTTGCTCCCCCCATGAGAGATAGGCCACCACGTTAGGGACTACACCCCCTTCTCTTTAGATAGATAGATAGATAGATAGATAGATAGATAGATAGATAGATAGATAGATAGATAGATAGATAGACAGATAGATTGATAGATAGATAGATAGATAGATAGATAGATAGAGAGATAGATAGATAGATAGATAGATAGATAGACAGATAGATTGATAGATAGATAGATAGGTAGATAGATAGATAGATAGATAGATAGATAGATAGATAGATAGAGAGATAGATAGATAGATAGATAGATAGATAGATAGATAGATAGATAGATAGATTGATTGATAGATAGGTAGACAGACAGATAGATAGATCGATAAATAGATAATGTAAGTAAATTAAGCTCTTCAGCGTCTCAAAGAACTTTTACATGCAAAGGTTGTGAGACGGGGCATACAGTTTATTGTCCTTATCAGAGAAAACTAGAGAGTCTTCACGAAGGCAGCACTTTCCCCTCAGTTATTTTAAGACCCTGAGTGTTAATCCGGCCGGAGCTTGAACCAGCGGCCTCCTGTTCGGCAGAACGGTGCTTAATATCCAACTGACTGAGCTAACCGGGGCACGGTTAAATGGCACCACAAAACTCTTAATAAATGGCGCGACAAAATATAGTGACCAAAACATAGATCCTAAAGTGTGGTTTTTTTTTATATTGTAGCAACTAGTTCGGTTTCCAGTGGGAGATCAGCTGGTGTTGAGACAGAGACCGTGTTACTGGAGACAAAAGTACGTTATGGAGAGATTTCTTACAACGATGAGGACGTCTTGCAGCGAAAAGATGGGTGGCGACCTTCAGAGAGACAGACGTCAATCGTGATGGAAGATCTGAAGCCCTATGTTGTCCGCAGAGTGAAGTTCTTCCGTACTGGTGGCGATCCCGCAGTTAAGTTTTCGTATGACAAGCGCACACTCCCGAGACCAGCAATCAGAGGCTACAACTGCAAGTCCAGATGCCGGAATTGCTTGTCCATGTGTCACTGCTGCCTCATTTTTTGCTGGTGCATGTTCAAAGAATGCATGATCACCTGTTTTTTATATCTGGTTCGCTGCCTTGGTTTCTTATGGGGTTGGTGCAGTGATAGGTTCAGAGGCAGCTAACTTAATTTATTACTAGCTATTTTGGATGAACTTAAAAGGCGAATCTAATAATGCTTTCCATATTTATTCAAAATATTTCGCACTTATGCTTTCCTCGATGGACATGAACTTTCCTTATATGCATATATATATATTATAAGTCTTTTAGATATTCTTCAAATAGCAGTTGTCAGTGCGTCGAGTTATATTTTTGCTGTTCTTGGTATGCTTTAGGCAGTAGTTCGCAAAACGTCTAAATTTTTCTCTATTTTCGCCATTTTCTCCGTCTCTTTCAAACAGTAGAGCTACCGCGCTCAACCTCGTCCCAAGGGGCTTTACGGGTTCCCGTGCCCTTTTCTGTCCATCTTCTGTATAGGTGGCGTCATTGGTCCAATATCGCCAGCGGATTATGAGAATTATCCCGGGGATTACCAATCGGAAACGGAGAAGTATTTTGAATGAATAAGAAAAGGACGGTATTAGTTCGTAAAATAGATACCTCTCAGGTAGGCCAATTGTAACACACTATGAGCTATTGAACTAAAAGTGATGTAAACGAATTGATAAAAGCAAGAAATGTTGTTGCAAGAGGTGATATGCAAAATTTCCAATAGTTTTAGGCACTTCCTACCCTACGGGCTTAGGCTGTAACGTTTAAGTCGTTGTTAATTAAAGAGAATAGAATTTGCTGATGGAAAAGACTTTCACTGTAATAACAAATGTTAATGACGCCAACGCCTCCATCAAAAGATCTTTCTTAACGCATTCTTAACTAGGTGGACTTCATCAAGATGCCAAGAGCTCAATTCTCAGACTGAATCTTTACTTGAAAGTACAAACAAAGAGATGTGTTTTAAAAAAGCAAACTTTGCTGCATTCAATTTACCACCGAAAAGGATCGATGAGCGGATGTTTTAAGCGCTTAAGTACGGTACGATTTCCTTGAGGTGAACCCCGCCGCCTTGCAAGCTTAGTAAGCAGGCTCACAATCTTTGAAGATAAACAGTTGCGATCCACCTGGTGATCCACCCCAAAATCCTCCGCCCCTGGGCAATAAATAATGACCGGTCCCTAAATAAGTAGAGAGGACTGTTAACGCAGAATTATTTAAACGTTCAGAATGGCTTACTACAAAAAGGCTAACCTTAAGGCGGCCCGAACCTATTGATATGCGTGTTGGCTATGTTTTTGATTTGCGTTTTTCAGAATGAACGATTCAACCGCTTTCTATGATTTTTGGCATCCATAATAAATAGTAATGGAACTTTAGGAAAATGTTATTTATTTTCTTGTGGGTGTAAAAACCTTTGAGATATCGGCATATATTTAAAACCGCATTTTTACGAAAGTGAGTGTATTAAAGATGAAACAACAACAACATGATATTAATTTGAGGAGGACTCGGATGTTTTTTCCGAGTCCTCCTCAAATTAATATCATGTTGTTATTTTTACGAAAATTGTAAAAAAATTCGAAATCCCACGACAGATTTTTCCATAACTTCCCTTCACGAAAAGAACTCAGGAGAAACTGTTCGCCGATTTCGCACAATAATACAAAGCATTTTTTGTGCCCAATCAGGAGCCGGCATCAGCTTGAATTTTTTGGAAATAGTTCGATGAGAGTCGGTACCCAGGGGCTCTTTCGCCCGTATTTGAAAGCTTTCGTCCCACCTTTTCCTCCGACCCGACTGACTGCCCCTGGGTCTCCGAGGATGGAACATTTCCAGCTTGAAATATCATCTAAGTGTGATATACAGGCAGAAAACAGTTCTACCTTGTGTAAATATGGGATCTAATGCTGACCGTCTCGAAATTTCCAGAAGAGACTTGGGCACAAAGAAAATCAAACCAAATAAAGAAATATGCCCAGAAGGCTTCGGAGTCATGTTAGAATTTTAAAATATAGAGAATGGGGAGTGACCATTTCCCGGAAACTCCCAAACAAAACATTACAAAAATTGACTACAGACAAGCGTGGAGAACAGCGTTGGTGCGACAAGATGTCATATCCGCAGAAAAGGTTTTTCCTTTTTAATTGTGACAATACTTACAATTTAGAAATGGTAGAGAGGTTTTAGCTTGAGGTAGAGGAGAAATATGGCTTCAAATTCTCAGTTGATCGTCTTTATTTTGGTCTGCAACGAATGGCTGAGGTGTGCGACAGGATTATACCTACACTGGATATGGACGTCGCTGTCTTTGTTGTCTACGCGAACGAATCTCGTCTCTCTATGAACGAAGACAACCCCGGGGATGGTTACGCGAGAATCTATCGAGCTTTGCTTAAAATAACAGGTGGGCTTCAGCTATCTCTTAATGGCTCGCTTTCCATTGCATGATTTGGTTTAAGGCAGTTTTAGATACGCACACTGGAGATTGGTGATATACTTAGCTTGCCTTCCACTGACTCGGTACATAAGTTTTAAAAACGCACGCACATGGTTGGTAATTTTACTAATACATATCCAGTTTAAAACGTAAGACACGGCAATATAAAACTTGTTCGACGGATGCTTTGATAGTTCACGCACAGAATGAGATGTTGATACAACTGCAGAAGAAACCGTTCTCAACCGTAAGTCCCGTGACCCCTTCTTTTTATTCCAATAATCTATACTGTGAAGGCTTAATTAGTTAATAAAACGCTTTCAAAGTCCTTTTTATAATATAAGATATGGTCAGGATGGAAAATAGTTAATCGATTAGGAAGGTAAAGACGTAAAAACTCCTGAAGCACTTTCGATTTTAAGGGCATCAGTTCATATGACACGCAGATTCTAAACTAATGAAGAAAAGTGTCCTGGAGAGCTCCATACAATTCCTCGTAATTTTAGTATAAGGAATTGTATGGAGCCTTCCAGGAGACTTTTCTTCATTAGTTTAGGCGCGGCGGATTTTGTCACGTATGATCAACGCGAGGAGTTTTTCCCGACCCTCTTCTGTCAGGCAAATGGAATCAACAACAAGTTTATTCAGTATTACCATTTTGTACAGGTGTTACCACAGGTGGCCCAAGCTCGGTGCATAAATTACCGCGAGTTTCGATACTGTTTTGCATATTACGAACGATTTGAAGAATTTGTATGAGAAATTCATTATAGCTGTAGAAATACAGGCATGAATATAGAAATAAATTGTACTTTCGTAAACTTGGGCCTGTTGTTGCCTTTTCGGTGTAACCTGGGCTCAATTCATGGGAGTTTTATACGGTTTTACGGCACGTTGTTTATTCGGTGTTGTTTTCCTACGTAAAGCGAAGCAAAGCAGGTGACTGCACAGGTGGCTCAAGCTCGGTGCATAAATTACCGCGAGTTTCGATACTGTTTTGCATATTACGGACGATTTGAAGAATTTGTATGAGAAATTCAGTATATCTGTTAAAACGTAGAAATGTGGGCATAAATATAGAAATAAATTGTACTTTCGTAAACTTGGGCCTGTTGTTGCTTTTTCTGTGCAATCTGGGCTCAATTCATGGCCGTTTTATACGGTTTTACGGCACGTTGTTTATTCGGTGTTGTTTTCCTATTTAAATCGGAGCAAGGCAGGTGAGTGCGTGCAGTCTTGACTCGCAAATCTCTCCCACACCGATGAACGGCGCACTGATTCGCCATTGAAGCGTCAGTTCTTTAAGGTCGCTTAAGTCTATCATCTATTCGCCTCTTCAAGGGTATCGTGATGCGTTATTTGAAGAAATAATTTTGGAAAGCTTTCGGTTCTGGGCAATCTGGCGTTCGCTCAGGTAACTCGATGACTACGTGTTGCGCGGTGAACGCGAACATGGACTCAGGGGATTCCGGTAATCAATATTGCATGACAAAACATGGATCTTCCTACCCTCAGATAGTCTACTGATTGCGCGTGAGCGGTGTTTGGAATTATCCAATTACATGAGCGAATATAAAATGTTCGCCTTCCTTTTTTTTTTTTTTAGATGATAACGTGCTAATCGTGATAGGCGGAGACAGTAACTACAGAGATGAAAACGAAGAAGTACGGTTTGTCATCTCGCGCTGGGCGAGAAAGAAGGTGGCTTCTCAGTGCAGTGCAGAGTATCTGGATGGAAGGCAAAGCTTTATCTTCTCTTGGGATAAAAAACACCGAATGATTCACGAGGAAGCAATGCGGCATTTCCTTGATCAGGGCAAAAGGGGATCCAAGTTTGAATACACACTACCCAGGCCCTTGCCAAAGCCCATACCGCCTGTGATCCCTCAGCACCTGTCGAAGCCGAAAACAACTGTGGCCACCTTTGCAGGCAGGAATGTGAGGCAAGAGGTAAGAGCTATAGTCTTCACTCTTTATGCCCGGGAACTTACTGGAAGATCCCGGTTTTAAGCCCTGGGCTTTTACAATTTGGAAAAGAGTATTGGATGGGCTTATGACAAGAGGAGGCTTAATAGCGTTATAATTCCAAGCCACACCCTCTTCCGACACCAACAGCCCCTAACCGCATCATTGGATCGAGATACTCTTTCAATAGCCAGTCAGCTTAAAACGACAAATGGAAGTTAGCATGACCTTTAAAAATAGTAATGGCTAAGTGATTATTAACCAAAAAGACACACTGATAATGATAACGCTGGCCTTTCCGGCCTTCTTCATGTCTAGTCCTTCTTTTCTGGCCGCACCCTTCCCCGATCCGGCTTAAGTGTAAGAAGATCGAATTTAGTTTGTAAAGTTTTCACCAAAAAACTTTAACTAAAATGAATTTATTTTATTACTTTTAACTTATGTTGTTTTTCCATCCTTCGCATAGTCGTCTTTGGTGGAAAGTAACACAGAAATCCTTATCCAAGACAACGAACAAGATACTTACCGAGGTGAAAGTCTTTCGCTTGTTATAATTAATGATTTAGGGAAATAAGTTTGGCTAAGGACCGTTGAACCTCGTATCATGTGCCCGTGTCGATGTATGCAGTTATTTTATGATTATATGTACAGTACTAAGTAAGCAGTAAAAAGCCTCACACTTTTAATTCTGTGTCTTGCTTTCTCGGTTCAAAGAAACATAAAAATCATATTAAGTTTATTTATAGTAATGAAAACCAACAAGGCTATTCAAAATCGCCCTTAAATAAATGGACTGAAGCTTGAAAAATAAAAGATGCTCAGTAATTTTAATCTATCTGCACAAAGCGGAAGGGCCGGTCCCCGTGAGAGAATGACGTCAATGACTGGGACAATCGCAGATATCGATGATCAGCGTAAGCAGGCTATCAGTTGCGCTGTTTCATCAGCAGATTATTCATAAATGGAACGACAAAATCAGGGCTCGAAAAAAACTTTAATTCAAGCTAGTAGTTCGGCAAGCTGATTTCACACTTTGCTGCCCAGGGCTACTTCTTGCTCCTCTGAGTTATTGATTTTGTCACGGGATGACTTGCCTGGATCCTTCCTTATTGGACAAGGAAGCTTTTAATGTTACTTGCCCAGCAAGTCCTGATAATTTAGTGATTAAAAGATAAATCCTTAAATGTACGTGTTTTTTATATTGTAGCGATAAGTTCGGTTATTAGTGGGAGATCAGCTGGTGTCGAGGTAGAAACCGTTTTTCTGGAAACAAAAGTACGTTATGGAGAGATTTCGTACAACGCCAAGGACGTCCTACAGCGTAAAGGTGGGTGGCGACCTTCAGAGATACAGGTGTCGATCGTGATGGAAGACCTGAAGCCCTATGCTGTCCGCACAGTGAAGTTCTTCCGTTCTGGTGATGATCCCGCAGTTAAGTTTTCGTATGACAAGATGGGACCCCAGGATCCCCTGCGGGAGTGCTCTGTGGTGTGTGTTCGTGGTGTTTTGGAGGACTACAGTGAAAGATCCATTAAAGAGTTCAATAAAAAGTCCAGATGCCGGAAATGTATACTCACCTGTTGCTGCTGCTTCTGCGTGCACCTCTTCCTTTGCTGTGGCATGTTTAACGAATGCATGGTCACATGTTATTTAGCCCTGGTTCGCTGCCTTGGTTCCTTATGGGGTTGGTGTACTAATAGGTTCAGAGGCCGTTAAAATAATTTTATTTTATTTTTAACCATTTTTGGATAAAGCTGAAATCCGAGTCTAATAATTCTTTTATTATTCATTGAAAATATTTTATACTTTAAAAATATGCTTACCTCGATTGACGTCAACTTCCCGTCTTCGGCAAATTCAAGAATAAAGAAAGCTGTTTAGTCTTGCAGATATTCTTCAAATAGCGTCTAGTTTTTTGCTGTTCTTGATATGCTTTTGGTTTAGGAAACAGTTTGGAAACCGTTACAATTTTTTGCATCAATTTCGGTTGCTGGGAAACTGTCCACCTACCCCTCCCCTAAGCCATCATTTTGCCCTAAGTGAGAAGTGTTAATGTTAGCTTAGGAGAGGGGTAGGTAGACAGTTTCCCAGAAACCTAAAGCGATCCAAATTTTCGGCCCTTTCAAGCTCTTTCAATTTCAAAAAACAGCTGAGCTGCCGCGCCAAACCTCGTCGACTTCCTAAGGGGACTCACGGCTTACCGTACCCTTTCGTGTCTATATTCTGTATGTTAACCTTTCAAACAAATTCACTCTTGCATAGGTATTTGTTTCTCATGCATGTACATATACACAAATAACTGGGAACACTTTCATGAATAATTTGGCACTCTTTCGGAGATATTTCTGTGCTAATGAGGGTACCACATATTCAGTACCGGGAGAAATCATGAGTCATGATCACTTTCATAATTCTCCTCAACTGCATTCTTAATGACATAGCTACATGTAATTTCTATTTTAGAGTAAGTCATTTTGTTTGCACCTAACTATTAAAAACAATTAAGTTGTCAAAGTGTGATTACCATACTTGCCAACTCTCCCGGATACGACCACAAATCTCCCGGTCTCTTGTACGGGTCACGAAATCTCCCAGATGAAATCGAGTTATGAACTTTTCTGTGCTTTAATTTGGAATGTATCCCATTTTCTCCCAAAATTCGAATTTTCTTTGATTCAAAGGTGGGTTTCTGGGGCATTTTCGGTCGTCTTTCATCACTGACTAAGATTATTTCGCCATTACAATCATAAAAGCTACTTGTGATGGTCTGTACCTCGTGTAACACTTCATATAATGTCCCCTGAAGCCGATCGGTGACTGGATCGAATTTTGCTTATAGGCTGGGGGGTTAATCGTTGACATTCGAAGGGAGAGGGGGTACTGCAAAAGAAAGAGTCTCCAGATTTTAGAATTCCAGAGGTTTGCATCTCTGGATTATGTACTACAACAAATGCAAATAATCTTGATCATTGCTGTAGTTCACTTAACAATAAATATTTTTCGCAGATTACCAGCATTTACCTGTTCTTTTCACTGCAGCATTACCTCCTGCCATTTCAACCACTCACTAATAATGACACAATTTACAAG